GGATGTGTGAAGTATGAAGAGAACCGAATGCTTATTTTGGATTTTATAAGCGTTTGGGTTATTCAAAATATTGACCCTTTGTAGAGGAGGTACCAGAAGGAATGGTCCGATCTCTACCATCTTTTTAACAAATCTTGCACTGATAGATACATTAGGATGTATCAAGTCTGCATGGAATCGGATGTTAATTTCGAGTTTTATGAGCTTCATTGGTATTCAAAATATTGGCCCTTTGTGGGGGAGGTACAGGAAGGAGTGGACCAATACATTCCATTTTCACACCAGACCAAGGGTTTATAAAAATAGTGTAATGTGTGAAATTTGACATCTAATGGTCCGATTGTCAAATTTCACATTTTTAAGAGTTATAATTATTTTAGATTTTGACCATTTGTGGGGATGGTACTTGATAGATTGGACCGATATTGCCCATTTTCGCACCTGACCTAGCACTGATGGAAATATTAGCATTTGAAAAAATGGAATAGTATTGGATTATTCTTTCTCTTTCGGTGCTGTAAAATATTCTTTGAAAATTTCGACCTTTTGTGGGGCAATTACCAGAGGGAGTGGGCTGAAATTGCCCATCTCCGAACTCCGAACTAAGTTTGATAGTAATATTACGATGTACCAAGTTTGGGTCAATCGGATACTTCGTTTGAGAGTTACCGTGCGCACCAGCCAGCCAGACAGATGGACGGACGGACGGACGGACATCGCTAGATCGACTCCAAATGAACTGAAATGGATTTGGTCATACTCCTTGTGGGAATTATAGTTCGCACCAGTCGGCCATATTGATGGACAGATAGATATGACTAGATAGATAGATATACCCTGAACAGGATTTCGTCCAAAGTAACCGGGGATCTAAGACCCTTATTTCAGTGTGGCCAATGTAGCCATTTGACTGAGGGTATAAAAATGGTAAAATTCTTAAAATCACAGTTCGCGAAACTATGAAAATTTTGGGTCGTTGTGAAGCACCTTGTCGAATCGCAACATCGCAAATTATTGAAAAACTCGAGCTTTTGGTACAAATTAGTGGTGTAAAGAAGGAAATTTGTGCTCGCCGCTCAAGTACAAATGACAATATTGCTGACAAATGACAAAGTGACTATTTGGGGTTTGTTGTTCATCGGGGTCATTGGAACACATTTTTTCGAAAATGGGCTAGAATTAACAGCTGCGAAGAAAGCGTCGATTCAATACCTCGAAATTGGAATTCATGAGGCTATTGTGTACACGGGGCAGTTTCTTCGCACAAAATTCCCTGAAAAAGTTATTTAAGTTGATTTTCGTTATTATTATTATCAAAGAATGAATTTGTTCTTTGAATGCCAAAATCCCCTTTGGGTAAATAGGCTCCATCATATGTTCGCTTTGTCGGTAATTTGGGTTTCCTTAAAGTCACAATATCCTCTCGATATGCCTCTGTCAAATGTTACTTTCAACTGTAATACTCTCCCCAAAATAATATATTTTCGGCGAAACCCCTTTTCCAAAAATCCCGAGAGGTACGGCATCACAGAGTCGGCTTTTCCCCTTTTCTTAAAATATTGAAAAATAACACCACTCGATTGAAGTAAGAAAAAAATTTGCCACAAAAATTAAATCAAATCTTACTGTTTTTAAGGTTTTCAATATCCAGTTATTGTTTTTCAAAAGTACTCCACATCTGTCATCCAAATAGTTCACATCTGTCTTCGAGATTTTTGAAAAGAAGTTGGCGGTTTTCGCCTTCAAAATATCAAAGAGGTCTCTTCTAATTATGACCATTCTTGTGGCGTGTTATTGTATTACTGAGACACATGTATTTTGAATCCTGCAAATCAAGGACAAACCAACGAATTTCGTTTAACGGTCAAAGGGCTATTTTTTCAAAACGCATTTTTAAAATAATAGAGGCTCAAGGTCAACAAGGACATGTATGTAGAAAACCCACATATGTGTATACAATTCAAATGTGGTAAGGCGTTGATAGATCATTTGCCAAAAATAACGACATTTTCTAAAGAGTTCACACAAACACATATATTTAAGTTTCCACACATACACACAAATACACATGCTTCCAAAAATTATAATTAAATATAAAATCTAGTTTATGCACATTAACTTGATTCTAAAATCCTAACAATATGTCCTTCGAAAAACTTGCAAAGGCTTTGGAAACTCATACATACAAACCAACATGTTGCTTTACCCATTCAAACACACATACTCATACATAAGTGATGTCAAAGTATGAAATCCTGTTTCCCTGCATAAAAATGAAACCACAATGGCAAAAAAAAAGTCCTACGAAATTTTGCAAGGACTCCATGATGATGGGCCGTGATTGGTGAAACGAAAAATAGGGGTTGTTTTCTGCTCAACATTTGGCCAATTCAAATGTTCCTTCACTGAATTTGAGTGTCTTGTGTGTGTTTCGTTCAAAACAACCCTCAACCCTTAAAAATGGAAATTTGTCTTAACGCCAAAGACAGAAACTTCTCAGGATCATCATTTAACACAGGATCATTGTCGCAAAGCAGACATTCAACTTTTGAAGTTGATAGCAAACGCACCAAGCCCATCCAAACCTTAAAGATTTTTTTAAGAAAATTTTTAAAAATAAAAAAAATATTTTTAATTTTTTGTTAAAAAAATATTTTTAATTTTTCGTTAAAAAATTATAATTAAAAAAAATTATAAAAAAGTGATTAGTGATTCAAATTGGTGAGTGATTTAAAAAAAAAAAATATTTTAGATTTTTAAAATTAAAATAAAAATAACGAATATGAAAACAATTGTAATATTTTGGGCGAACTTCCGCTACCAAAAATAAACAAAATTTAAAAAAATAAATAAAAAATAAAAACAAACAAGTAAAAAAGCTGTGAGTTCGGCTGTGGCTTTTGTCATAAGCCATTAGAATATTCAATTTGAAAAAAAAAAAAAAAAAAATCGGTGAATAATGTAGCTAAAATCATCAAAATACCGAATATAGGGAGATACCGTTATATGGGGGCTATACGAAGATGTGGACCTACACAGACAATTTTCTGTCATAGGCCGTAGTATCCATTACGAACTTCAAATACTAAATTTGAAACAATTCCGGTGAATAATGACGCAAAAATCATCAAAATACCGAATATCGGGAGGTACCGTTATATGGGGACTATACGAAGACGTGGACTTGCACAGACACTTTTCTGTCCTAGGCTGTAGTATTCATTACGAACTTCAAATACCGAATTTGAAACAATTCCGGTGAATAATGTAGCTAAAATCATCAAAGTACCGAATATCGGGTGATACCGTTATATGGGGGCCATAGGAAGACGTGGACCTGCACAGACAATTTTCTGTCATAGGCTGTAGTATCCATTACGAACTTCAAATACTAAATTTGAAACAATTCCGGTGAATAATGTCGCAAAAATCATCAAAATACCGAAAATCGGGAGGTACCGTTATATGGGGGCTATACGAAGACGTGGACCTGCACAGACAATTTTCTGACCTAGGCTGAAGTATCCATTACGAACTTCAAATACCAAATTTGAAACAATTCCGGTGAATAATGTCGCTTAAATCACCAAAATACCGAAAAAAACAAGGTATACAGGGTGAGATAAAAAAAAACTGCGACAAAGTCAAACGCCATAATTTTTACATTTTTTTTTAAATTTTTCTTTGAATAAAAGCAAAGAATGTCGGAAATATCATCAAATTTTAGAATAAGTTTAGATTTGTTCGAATTGGTCAACTTTGGCACGTCACACGCTGCCCGAAGGTTGCTCTGCAGTATTTTGGCTCATTACCGGCGAAGCGCTTGCTTGAGGTGATCGACGACACTTTGGTATTTTTTAGTGCCGACCTTGATTTCCAAAATATGAAGAGATCTGGATTTTATTTTTTATGATTTTCGTTGTTATTCAAAATTTTGATCTCTTTGTGGGGGAGATACCAGAAGAAATGGTCCGATCTCTACCATATTTATAACAGATCTTGTGTTGATGGAAATATTCAGATGTACCAAGTCTGAATAGATGCGGATGTTAATTTCGCTCGTTATGAGTTTCATGGATATTCAACATTTTGAGCCCTTTTTGTGGGGGAGGTACCAGAAGAAGTGGACCGATATTGTTCATTTTCATACCTGACCTAGCACTGACGGCAAAATTAGGATTTGCAAAATTGGAGCACAATCGGATTATCTATTCTCTTTCTGTGCAAAAAATATATTTTGAAAATTTCGACCTTTTTGTGGGGGAGATACCAGAAGGAGTGGACCGATAATGTCCATCCTAACACCAGACCTTGAGCGAATATAAATATTTGGATGTGTGAAATTTGAAGACAATCGGACTCTTACATCACATTTTATGGGAGTTGTAAAAATTTTATATTTTGACCATTTGTGGGGGAGGTACTTGATGGAGTGCACCGATATTGTCCATTTTCGCACCTAACCTAGCCCTGATGGAAATATTAGGATTCTCAAAGTTTGGAGCAAAATCGGATTATCGTTTCCCCTTCTGTGCAGAAAACATATTTTTTAAAAATTTCAACATTTTGTGGGGGAGGTACCAGAAGGAGTGTACCGATATTGCTCATCTCCGAACTCGATCTAAGTTTGACAAAAATATTACGATGTACAAAAGTTTGGACCAAATCGGATACTCCCTTCGTCAAACGAACGGATTGACATCCCCTAGATCGACTCCAAATGTCCTGGAACGGATTTGGTCCAAAGAGACTTAGGGTCTAAAACCGTTATTTCTATGAGGCACGTTTTGGTCGTATCAAATGATATATACCCTCTCTAGCCATATGGCTGAGGGTATAATAAATAATAAATAAAAAATAATAAATAAATTAATAATAAATTATAAATAAATTAATATATAAACAAAAAATAAGTCCTTTTTTGAATCTCTCTTAAAAATTAAAATTAATTCTCTATTCGAAAATTAGAATTAAATATCTATTCGAAAATTAAAAATCCATTTCTTACTTCCGATTCCAATAACAATTTATTATACATTTATTGTTTCGTGTTTTTGTTTTTTTTTTTTCATTTTTAAAATTTTTATATATTTTTTTAATATTTGTTCCTTTAATAACTTAGTAAATAATCAGGATATGTCCGCCAGTGAAATTTCGCGGACTACGAAAAAAAATGTTATTACATTACAGAAACAGAAATTAGAAAGTGCCGCAACTTATGCCTGATGCTTTCTTCGATAATATCGTTCTCTTCTCTTGTGTTGTTGTCGTTGTTGATTTAGAAAAAAATTGTCTTAAAAACTTAAACATTGGTAGGTATCCTGTCAGGATCATCACCAACCATCCATACATTTACTAATTTAATCACATTTATTGATCATTCATGTCGGCATTGTTCATGCGCATTTTGGCGAAATCCTCAAACACAATATTATCATCATCGTCCTGATAATAGCCCTTGGTGTTGCGATGCTGTTCAATCGATTTCATTTTCTTCATGGCATTGGAACGTTTCTTTTCAATGGTACCTAAAAGAAAATATTACAATTTTTATATTTGAAATTTGAAAAAAATGAATTTCGGGTTATCATACCTGGTGCCGGTTGCGCCAATTTGAAGGGCACATCAGTTTGAATTTCCCCACCCAGTGTTCCACAATTCAATTTTACTCGCAACGAATAGGAAATGATAATACCACAGGCATCCCCTGTTGATTTGCCATCCTGCACCATGGTGGAGGAGGCCAAATTGACATCCTCATCCTTGAGATGACCATCCAAGGCAATACCTTTTTTTCAGGGTAAAAAGCAATTTTGACAAATGTAAAAAATATAAAATGTAAAAAAAAACAATAGCTTTCATAAAATTTATTATGGGGCCCTTTTAAATAGGCTGGGATTGGGTAACTAGTACACTAGGGAACTCCCTTAAAATGTTATGAGAATTTTCACAATTTATCAAACTGGGAAAAAAAGTTTTATGGAGATACTCCAAAACATCGAAAAGTTTTAGAAATTTTCGTCTTTTGTAAGACCCAGAGTTAAACAGCCTTGTTCACTGACTCATTTCCTTACTCAGGGGAACTAGTTCATTCTAGATTGTTTTTGTTCCATTTAATGAATACCTAGCCTTAAGTGTGATCTCCCATTAGTTTTAACTCTGTTCTTCCTTCGTTTAACTTCGTTAAGTAAAGGACAAAAATGAGGGAAAGAGCTCGAAGTAGTTCAAATTGTCCATTTTAACAAATACTCCCTTTGAACTAGTTCATTTCGAAACTACACAGAACTAGTGATGCAAAAAAGTTCAATTTTCCCCAAAAACAAAAGTTCAGGGAAACTATTCCTAAAAGTTTACGAAACGGAAATTCTAGAACCAAAAAGGGCATGAAATGTACGAAAAAGTCTAGCGGAAATTCAAATATTTATAACCACAGGCATCTGTCGATATCGGGCAAAGACGTTGTTACTTGAGATTACTTAATTTAAGAGCATAGTTTTAGGCAAATTTTTTAGGGTTAGAGTCTGAACTCTTTTCATATGGGTCTATGGACATGAAAGTCCTTTAGACATTTTTTTTAAATCTATGTTTAAGGGCTTGAAAGGCTTAAAAGTCCTTTTGAATTTTATTAAATCCATGTTTAAGGACATGAAAGTCCTTCAGAAATGCTTAAAAGTCCTTTAGGCAATTTTTTTAAAACCATGTTTAAGGGCTTAAAAGTGCTTCAGAAAGGCTTAATAGTCTTTAGACAATTTTCTTTTAAAAAAAAATCCATGTTTAAGAGCTTGAAAGTTCTTCAGGAAGGATTGAAAGCCCTTTAGAATTTTTAATTCGTGTTTAAGGACTTCAAAGTCCTTCATAAAGGCTGGAAACTCCTTTAAACAATTTTCTTAAAAAATCGACGTTTATGGACTTGAATCTCCCCTAGAGAATTTTTTTAAGATTCATGTTTAAGGTCTTGAAAGTCCTTCATAAAGGCTTAAAAATCCTTTAGACAATTTTCTTTCAAAATCCACGTTTATGAACTTGAAGGTCCTTTAGACAGTTTTTTTTTAAATTTAAAAAGTCCTTAAACTTGACTTGAAAGTCCTTCGGAAAGGCTTGAAAGTCCCTTACACAATTTTTTGGTTTAAATCCATGTTTAAATCCTTTAGACAACTTTTACTTTTTTTAACTTTAGACTTTTTAAAACCATGTTTAATAACCTGAAATTCCTTCAGAAAGGCTTGAAAGTCCTTTAGACAATTTTTTTAAAAATCCATGTTTAAGGACTTGAAAGTCCTTTAGTCAACTTATTTTAAAAATCCGTGTTTAACGGCTTGAGAATCCTTCAGAAAACCTTTAGACAATTTTCTCAAAAAATCCGTTTGAAAGTGTTTCAGAAAGGCTTGAAAGTCCTTTAGACAATTTTCTCAAAAAAATCCGTTTGAAAGTGTTTCAGAAAGGCTTGAAAGTCTTTTAGACAATTTTATTTTTCAAAAATCCACGTTTAAGGACTTGAAAGTCCTTTAAATACTTTTCTTAAAAAATGCACGTTAAAGGACATAAAAGTCCTTTAGAAAATTTTCTTTAAAAATCCACGTTTAAGGACTTGAAAGTCCTTTAGAAAATGTTCTTATAAAATTCACGTTTAAGGACTTGAAAGTCCTTCAAATAATTTTCTTTAAAAATGCACGTATAAGGACTTGAAAGTCCTTTAGAAATTTTTCTTTAAAAATCCACGTTTAAGGACTTGAAAGTCCTTTAGAAAATTTTCTCTAAAAATCCATCTTTAAAGACTTGAAAGTCCTTTAGAAAAAGTTCTTTAAAAATCCACGTTTAAGGACTTGAAAGTCCTTTAAAAAATTTTCTTAAAAAATCCACGTTTAAGGACTTGAAAGTCCTTTAAAAAATTTTATTTAAAAATGCACGTTTAAGAACTTGAAAGTCCTTTAGAAATTTTACTTTAAAAATCCACGTTTAAGGACTTGAAAGCCTTTAGAAATTTTTCTTCAAAAATCCACGTTTAAGGAATTAAAATTCCTTTAGACAATTTTCTTTAAAATCATGGGTTTTGGATATAAAAGTCCTTTAGACAATTTTCTCTTGTGTTGTTGTCGTTGTTGATTTAGAAAAAAATTGTCTTAAAAACTTAAACATTGGTAGGTATCCTGTCAGGATCATCACCAACCATCCATACATTTACTAATTTAATCACATTTATTGATCATTCATGTCGGCATTGTTCATGCGCATTTTGGCGAAATCCTCAAACACAATATTATCATCATCGTCCTGATAATAGCCCTTTAAGGACTTTAAGGACTTGAAAGTCCTTTAGAAAATTTTCTCTAAAAATCCATCTTTAAAGACTTGAAAGTCCTTTAGAAAAAGTTCTTTAAAAATCCACGTTTAAGGACTTGAAAGTCCTTTAAAAAATTTTCTTAAAAAATCCACGTTTAAGGACTTGAAAGTCCTTTAAAAAATTTTATTTAAAAATGCACGTTTAAGAACTTGAAAGTCCTTTAGAAATTTTACTTTAAAAATCCACGTTTAAGGACTTGAAAGCCTTTAGAAATTTTTCTTCAAAAATCCACGTTTAAGGAATTAAAATTCCTTTAGACAATTTTCTTTAAAATCATGGGTTTTGGATATAAAAGTCCTTTAGACAATTTTCTAAAAAAATCCACGTTTGAGGACTTGAAGGTCTTTGACAAAGACATAATATTACAATGGGCATTTCATTATTGTTTTGGTACGGCAGATGGCGTTGGTAGTACGAAAACATTTTTCGCTGATTTTTTGCCATTCAAAATGCAAGGAAATGTTCTGGAATAGATTTTTGAGGCCATATCTATCATTTCTGATGTTTTCGCTATTGGTTTTGGCGATTTTGGTATTAAATTTATTTCCGAAATTTTTTCTAATATATTTTTTCGTCATGTCGTGGGCCATCTATTGCTTGATAGAAAAATTAAATTAAATTAAAGGACAATATGTATTTTGTCCAATCTTTATGGTGGTATGTCTTTGGTAACTACCAGGCCTAGTTAAAATTTCGGACATGACCAGATTGCTAGTTTGAAAAATCGCTCTTAAGAGGTCACAAAATGTCAAAAAGATCCCTCGAAATTCTATTAAGGTTTATGACGAGTGTCATCTATTACCATTTTTCAAGCAACTAGTAATCATAGAAATTTCAATACAAGAGCATACTTTCAGGCAAAATGTTTATTTTACACATCATTTTTTCCAGAAAAAATCTTCAGTTTACAGATCATGTTAGAGTCATATGTAAAGTGGATTTTTTTTCATATTTATGGCATGATTTAAGGCGCTTCCTTCAATAAAAAAAAACACTTTAATTATGACATAAAGTGTAAACTAGCCCTTTTTGAAGAAAATTGTCTATGACATTAATAGGTACATTTTTGCAGGCCACAGAGAACCCTAAATATTGAATCCTGCAAATTTTCCTGATATCAATATTTAAGTTTCCCAATTCCTGTTCCCTTCCCCCTTTTTCAAAAAATTCCCTTACTTACCATGTCGATCCTTGTTGTTCGAGGCCAAGGGTATCAAATAGAATGTCTTGGTCAAATTTGCACCCGGTGTAATGGGGCAACCCTCTTTGGTCTCCAATTGGGCCACATGTTTGCTAAATTGAGCATTCACCATTGTGATCTCCGTATGTTGGATGACGAAACATTTAATATTTTTCACAGACTTTTTGGAACTATTATTGATTTGTACTGTGGCTGCCACCTTCTCGCCGTGATAGTAAATCTCCCTGTCCAATGTGACTTCCAAGCTAATTTTACCATTAGAGAATGTGAAACCTTTGCTCACCAAAGAGCTGGGTAAACGTTGGCCTCTTGTGGGTGGAGCATATTGCAATTTCTTGATTACCAAACTGACCATGCTGCGTTTATGTTGTCGCTCATCCTCCGTATCGGCCACATAGGCACGAATCGTATATTCCACACCCAATGGCTTGCCATTGTCATCGCCCTCCTGTTGCAAAGTTACAGAGCTTGGGGAGTTGGGTGGGAAATGGAAGGTAAATGGATAGGCATTAGCACCGAGTTTTCGCACCAATTTCTCCTGGACTGGGGTCATTTCCATGTTGGGGTTGCTCATGGGGACAATTACTTCACGGCACAAAATGAGCTCCTTGGAAAATTTAACACCCATAACCTCATCCTCTTCGCGGCCATAACGATAGGTGGTCACCAATTGGCCAAAGACCTTACGCCTCTTGAGATACTCCTCATCGACCACAACCACACCATCAACGGGATCACAGTAATCCAAGTGATCGATGAAATCGCGACGACCCAAATAGAAGGTCACTTTGCCGTTGGGCGTTGCCTTTTTGAAAACCTTAACGGACACAACCATGCTGTTCGATGTTCGTTTATAACTAGTTGTAAATCAAACCGGTAACTAATGTTCTGAGGTGAAGCGCTGCTGTTTGGATGAGCGGCGCAAAAAGAATTTATCGCGAAATGCGGTCAAATGTTGTTGGTCACCTGCTTTTATACCTTCGATTTTGGTGGGGCCAAAGCATTTTAGGGGTTTCTTTTTTTCTGTTAAGTCTTCCATCCAAAAGACCAGCAACTAAGTGGATTTAATGATTACAAATTTCTTCTGTTACAACGTGTTGTGTAGTTGTCGTATGTCTTGTTTTGAGACATTTTCTTGATGTAACACCCCTGCATGTGGTGTTACATGGATGGATTCCACATGACAGGGTTTTGCTAGGCAGGGTGGAGGCTAGCAATGTTTTCGTCACAAAATAACAATTTTTTTTTATTATTGCGGTTAGCTTTAGCAAATGTCAGGGTAGTTGCTATAACTTTTCTAGCTATTTAAAGGTAAACAAAAGCATTGACCTTGCAGAAGGTCTCTGCAGGGTTTGAATGTTGTTAATAGGAAGTATACCTCCTCAATTGGGGAAGACCTAAAAGTCAAATTGGGTTGGGTCATGGCTGTGAAGAGTACTGGGGGATGGTTGGAAATTAGGAGCTGATAGAAAAGAAATCAAGAAATTGATGAGAATTAATGAAAGGTCTCAGAGGACAATAAGGATTTCGGGGAAAATAAAGAAAATTGAATCCCAAATAAACGGTGAACCTCCTCAGAACTCAGAATTCCAAATTTTGCCAAAATGATATGGAAAACATGACCAAAACGTAAAAAATACTTGAATCCGAAGTTATCCTTACAAGGTGACTATTCCAAAAAGTGTTCCGATATGACCATCATTTTCTGTACCAATTATTCTGGATGTCATCCAAAGATCTTTATCGAATTTCCAAGCTCTAGCTCCAATATCGCGAAATATATGTCAAACTATATGGGGCCCCATTTCCAAATACAGGGTGACACAAAAAAACTGCAACAAAGTCAAACGCCATAATTTTTAAATTTTTTTTAATTTTATTGAATGAAAGCAAAAAGTGTCGGAAATAGCATCAAAGTTTAAAATAAGTTTAAATTTGTCGGAATTGGTCACCTTTGGCACGAATTATAACCTTCAAACGGCCAATGAAACCCTCATATGCTGCCCGAATGTTGTTCTGCGGTAATTTGGCCCATTACCGGTGAAACGCTTGTTTGAGGCGATCGACACTTTGGTATTTTTTAGTGCCAACCTTGCTTTCCACAATACTTCAGACACAATAGTCCAACGGATTGGTAGCCGGAGATTATGGTGGCCATTGTGCACTGGAAATGAAGCGAGGAACCTTATTTTGTAACCATTCTTGGGTGGCGAGTTCTGAGTGCGATGGTGCTAAGTTCTCTTGGAATGTCCAAGGTCTGCGGCCAAAATGTTGTGCCTGCCCAAGGCTTTAATACACCCTCCAGAATAATTTCGCGATAATATTCGCCATTTATTCTGATGCCACGGTCGATTAATACGAGCGGAGAGCGGCCATCGGATGTTATGGCGGCCCACACCCCACCATCACCATGGCCGACGCTTGAGTTCTGGTGGCCAACCGAAGGTGCATATTTTCAGCCGACCTCATTGGCAAGTGAACACGATCATTTTGTCTGTTTACAAACTACTGGACAACGAATGTTTTCTCATCGGAGATGGAGAAAACCAAATTCGGCATTTCACCACTTTCGGCCAAGCGAAGCAACTCTTTAGATCTTTCGAGTCTATTTTCTTTCTGTTGCGGTGTAAGTTCTTGCACTTTTTGGAATTTCAATGGCTTTAGCCCGAGCTCATTTTTCAATATTTGCCGAATGGAATATTGCGATATGCTCCGCTCAAAAGACATTTTTCGACCACTGCGACACGGGTTTCGATCAAGTCGCTTCTTTACTTTTCGAACCATTTCTGCTGCAGTGTTGCTGTTTTCTTCCATCCACTTCCATGACGTCGGGCTACGCTACCAGTATCACGGTAACGAGCGATGGTACGAGCCAAAAAATTTTTATTCACATTTAAATGCTGGAGTGCTCTAACTATAGCCACTTGTGGTTTTCCAGCCAAAAAAAAAGAAATCACACTATCACGCTTGAATTCCGTCGCGAATAACTTTTTTTTCTGGAAAATTCGCACCAAAATGCTGTCGTACCCCTGTAAACAATATAATGAGCTGTCAAACCTTTAAATTGTCTTAAATCGGTGGGAGCGTAATATGGATGTTACTTAAAAATCTTCAGCACCTTTCAACAAGAATTTCAATTACGATTTTAAAATAGAAAATTCCAGTCATTTTTGAGAGAAAATAAGGTTGGGACCTTTGGAACCCCTAAATATTGCCGAAATGTAATGTAGGGGGATTTTTAAAAATATCGACCTATATTGAACTTTTTCTTTGGGAATTTCTATTTAGATTTCAAAATAATGTACAGCCACTGCATTTCCTGTATTTTTTCCTAAAAGTTCGAAAACTCCCCGAAAAAAAATTTAAAAACGTAAAATTTTTTTTAGCTATTTGTTTGCATTTCATTAAAAATAGAGAAAATTCAGTGGCTGTAAATTATTTTGAAATTTTTTTTGTAATTCCCGAAAAAAATTAAAATGGTTCGAATTTTTTTAGATTTTTGATTGGTTTTTTTTGTACAAAAATGTCTATTTTATCCAATCAAATAGCTAAAAATTCCGACGCATTTTAACATTTTTTCGGGAATTTCAATTTAAATTTCAAAATAATTTACAATTTACTCTATTTTTTTTTTCCTAAAAGTTCGATATTTACGAAAAAATCCAATCAAATAGCAAAAAGTCTTCCATTTGTTCTTCATTTTATATCCTCTCCTATCATTTCTATTTTCCACTGCCTTACATTTTCTAATTAGAAAATTAATGTTCTCTATTGGGTTACCTTCCCTTCTATGTCTTTTTCACCATTGAATTCAAATCAATTGCTTTCGTTTGATAATAAATTGCGCATAACATTGAAATGTATGTAAGACCACAAGCGAAAAGTGCTGAATATGCATTGCTGTTCTTCGTTCACTTAATAAAGGGCATATTGAATAATATCAAAGCATACCTTGAGGCGCACTAATTGATAATCATTATTTATGTGGTGCAGTGTCTGGGATAAATGAACGAAATATTATAAGTCGTTAAAAAGGCAATGGTTGGTGTCTGCGATATTTATCATTGAATACGATGGTGAAACAAGTGGAAAAAATAATTTCTACTTTTTACGATATTGGGATTATTTTTTGATTGTTTAACCCTTCTTCGAAAAAATAGGTCATGCATTAACAATTAGGGTATAAAAATTAGTCATAACACAATTTATGAACCTTCTTCGGTCATGCATTAACATTCAGGGTATATACATTTGTCATACCGCAATTTATGACTCCATAAAGTATAAATATTTTTCATGTAAATAAAACTTAAAAATATTTTTAAATGCCTTTCTTTTTGACCATTGGTGGTAATCACTCTAGTTTTTTAAGAAATTCATCTGGATAGTCAGGTTTTACTCAAAGTATATTTCTGAAAGAATTGTTGTAATTTTTATGGTATCGAATTAATAATTTCATAATTTTTTATTAATTAATACAAGATAAGAATGCTATTTTTAGTTGCTATTTAAAATTCTCATAAACTCAATACAATATTTTCTTCAAAACATTATCATCTAATATAAATTATTTCTATTTTATTTTTTACAGTTGAAGCCCAAAGACAAATACACAATACAAAAATGTATACAACATATACGACACCCGACCGTCATGGTTACAGTGTAAAGTTTTCAACATTTGAAACAGATCGCCTACTGCTGGCCACAAGGTAAGTCATTACAACTTAGGTGAAAAACACATTACTTTGATAATTTTTACCGAAAGGAAAAATTACAATTTTGTAGTCAAGCTACAGGTCACAATTATTACTAAACTTCATGAATTTTTGCACGAGTTAGGGTTAGGATCAGAATAGAAGCATATTGTGGTTGGAGATGATCCAAAAATATATATGAACCAAAAACTGACTTTTTTGGCTATTTTGCAATTGTTCTTCAGGTCACAATTATAGACCAATCGTGGTGTAATTTTGTAGCGGGGTAGAGTTTAGAACAGGGCAGAAACCTATCAATTTGAGTGGTTATTGGATAATATTTAGTGGGTAAAATAGACCAAAAACTTTCATTTTTAAAAATGTCAAACATTTTATTTCACCACGAATTTTTCTAATGTCTAAATTTTATTTAAACCGAAATTTCATATGACCTACACATTGAAGCTGATTTCGTAGACTTATATAGGCAAAAAATGTAAGATGTAGTAAAATATTCACAGGAATTCAAATTTCGAAATATTATTAAGCATTCGCCTCAGAACGACAAAAGGCGTAAATATAGACAATTTCCTCTCAACTTTTTCATGACTTCGTGGGTCTGGTGAAAAGTCAAGATGACCTATTTTACTGAATGAGCTCATTTTTCAGTCCCCAAAACTGTAGTACCTCCTGATTTTCGTTACTCTGGAGAGTATACCTTAATTTCCCACCAAATCAGCTGTTATTGGATATTTCGGGTTCTTTGTGTGGTATATTAACTCTTCTCCAAAATATTTTATATAGGTGTAGGTCCCCATTTCAATACTACTAATTTTGAAAGATTTTGAGAATAACCGACTTTGAACTAACCGAACTTTTCAAATGATTTAAAGAAAAAGTTTGGTTGTCGGTTTTTCGTCTTTATTTCAAAGTCTACATACCTACGATTAAGACTATCAAGTTCAATCTTTATACCATATCATCAAATGACAGAGCAATGATGATGAACTCCCATCTCTGGTATTATAAGGCTACGTATGAATATCTATGGTTTGTGGCAATGGAAATACAGGTTTTATATGAAAGTAGACTAGGTTCGAGGCTATGCTAATAAGGAGTGTTTAAAAACACATTTATTAGAGAATATCTAACCGAGCACCCTGCGTTATCATTGATTCGAACCCAGTTTTTTTCTCTCCACGACTATGACAAGCATTTGTGTAGACAATGAGGATACAGGGTGTGTGGCAATGCTAAACAAAACAGGGTGTTTCTTAGATTGCAGTGTGTTTGAAAGTAAAATTCGATAGGAGATTATAGACAAAAACATCTGATATTAAAGGTATTTTGGGAAATTATTGTGAATTAATACACTGCGAGAAATTAAGGGCTATGCTCCGATATTAAAAGTTTTCGATAGAATTTTTTTCAAATGAATTTTAATATTTTTTTGGATTGATTTATTTTTGAAAATTTTGATTGAATCTAATAAATATCGAATGTTGGAGTTAAACACCAATTTTAATTTTTTTTCAAAATTAAAGAAAATCATTTCTATAAAAATTTTGGGCTATCGAACATAGGAATTTGGCCCAGACCCTTTTTTAAAAAATTTTATTAAATCAAAAAAATTAGAAATATCTGAAATTAATTTTTAAATATTTTTTCATTTAAATTAATCTCAACTCTCTCTTTCTTTCTCTTTTCAGTCAATTATATGGCCTGGCCGGTGGTGGTTCTCTCTTTCTTTTACAGGACAACCAGGGAATTGGTGAAATTGCCCGTCTCGAGTGGTCTGATGGTCTATTTGATGTTTCATGGTGTCCATATAGCAACAGTGTGGCTGTCACTTCCTCCGGCGATGGTTCGCTCCAAATATGGTCTGGCCTCGATGCCTTGGACTTGGAGACGGCCGCGAAAATTCCCCCCAAACCGGTAATGTGTTTGCGTGAGCACAAAAATGAGGTATACAGCGTTGATTGGAGTGAAAAATGGAACTATCATCAGATACTATCGGCCAGTTGGGATGGCTCCATAAAATTATGGGATTGTAATCGTCAAAAATCGGTGGCCACCTACAGTGGCCACACGGATTTGATATACAGTGCAAAATTTTCACCATTCATAGCAAATATATTTGCTAGCGTAGGTACGGATGGTATATTAAATTTATGGAATTCTTTTGATTTTTCAGGTAAGCCATTGATGTCGGTCCCGGAGGCTCATGGCAGTGAGATTTTGTCCATGGATTGGAGTAAATTGGATCGTAATGTGCTGGTGACGGGTGGAGCAGATGGTCTGGTCCGAGCATGGGATTTGAGAAATATGCGGGAACATGTTTTTGAATTATTCTCGGGAGAATTTGCCGTAAGGCGATTGGCCTTTTCGCCGCACAAGGCAACGGTGTTGGCCTCGGCGAATTATGATTTTACCACAAGGTAGGCATTTGAAATTTTAGTTTTATTTTTTGGTTATTAATTATTTTTGTTGTTGTTTTTATTCCCTTAGAATTTGGGACTTTGGTGTGTCGGCAGATGCCGTTGAAATCCATGAACATCACACCGAATTCGTGTGTGGTCTCGACTGGAATGTAAATAAACCACATCAACTTGCCGACTGTGGGTGGGACAGCGTAATCAACATTTTCACGCCAAAGACACTTAAAATGTAAGACAACAGGCCAGTCAGTCAACCAGCTAAGAGGCGATGGTAACCCCAGCAAAAACTGAAGATAGGGAATAAAAAAGAAAAAAGCCTGCACCAGAAATGCCTTAATGGATAAAGCTTAAACGGGAACACAAGATGTTTGTGGCCAGACAACAATCCGGAATGGAGATAGAGAACTAAGAAATGTGATAAAGCAGCGAAGATGGAACCCAACAGAAGAAAAAACACACCATCCACAGCGTATCGGATACGATTACGATTTAGGTGGCATAGTATGTCACTGAAATAATGATAATGGATATAGCAAAGCTAAATATCGAACAAGCCGTTAAATGTGATAGTAACATTTCAAATTGAAAAATTATTCAATATTTTTCAGATAAAATTTCGAAAAAAAATGATTTTGGAACAAAAAAATTGTAACTTATTTATTTTATAAATGTAAATAAAAATAGAAATTTAAGGACAATACAAAAAAATTGAATTTTTTAAATTTTGTCAAGGACCATCTAGGCCCCAAATATGGATTACTAGCCAGTGTTCGCTACTTCGTTAGCGAAAGGTCAACCTTAACATTTCCGATTTCTTCACAACTCTAACAACCTCAATATCTTTCCCTTCACCCAATACCAAATTTAGTACCAAAACCACCTCTGTATCTTATCCACAGTTGCCAATAGTCTACATCTACATCAAATTTCGAGATTCCAGCTCTATCCCTTTACTCAATACCAAATTTAGTACAATTTTGTAATTTTCGTACAATTATAGTATACATTTTCGCAATCACCTTCATATTCTAACAACTGACACCAACAGTGACATCTATATCAAATTTCAGTATGTCAGCTTTATCCCTTCACTCGATACTAAATTCAGTACAATTTTGTACTTTTCGTACAATTGCAGTACACATTTTCGAAACCACCTCCATATATCAATCCCAGAAACCTCTATATCAAATTTGAGGATTACAGCTATAACCCTTCACCAAATATCAAATATTGTACCAATTAGTACTTTTTTACAATAATAGTGCACATTTCTGATATCGCCTCCATATGTCCAGCCTTCAAATGAACAGCGTCCCCAATACCAAATTTAAGATTTCTAACATTATCTACTCACGCAATAACAAATTGTACCAAATATTGTACTATTTAGTACTTTTCTTGCACTAGTAGTACGAATTTCCAAAACCACCTCCATATATCAATTTCAAATGCAAAGAGAGACCTTTATATCAAATTTGAAGATTCCAGCCGTATACCTTTACCCAATACCAAATATAGTACCACTTAGTACTTTTCGAATAATTATAGTACACATCTACAAAAACACTTTCATATCTCAATTTCCGATACCAACATATACCTCAATATCAAATTTCAGGGTTTCAGCTCTATCCATACACCCAAAACCAACTTTAGTACCATTTAGAACTTTTCGAACAAATATCGGACGCATTTGCAAAACCACTCCAAATCTCAACCTCAGGTACCAACAGTCATCTAAATATCAAATTTCAGAATTTTATCTCTATTCCTTCACACAATACCAAATGTTGTGCCATTTAATACTTTTCGCACAATAATAGTACACATTTCTGAAATCGCCTTCATATGTCCAGCCTTCACATGAACAGCGACCAGATTTCAGATTTATAATACTATCTACTCACCCAATGTCAAATTGTACCAGATAGAGTACTGTTTAGTAGTCTTCGTGCACTTGTAGTACAACATTTCAAATTCACCTTTTTATCACAAACAAACTATCAACATAGACTCAAAAACGAAATTTTAAAACTCCAGCTTCATCCGTCCACCCTAAGCCAAATTGTTCCAAATGTAGTACCATTTAGAACAGTTCGCACACTTAGTACACATTTCCAAAACCGCCAAATTTCAAGTTTTTAGCTATATTCGTCCACATAATACCAAATTGTATCATTTAGAAGTTTAGTACCATTTTAGAAGTTCTGGCAACCTTAACGTTTGAATTTACAAAAATCCATTTGGTACATTTATCCTGCACTACATCAGTGACTCTCATTCCAAATTTCAGAATCTCAGCTGTGTCGGATCATGCAAATCCAAATTGTATAAAATGTAGTATATTTTAGTACACATAAGAACAATTTTCCAAAACTACCTCTATATCTTCGACAGTAGTCTTATTTAAAGATTTCAGGATACCAGCTCTATTGATTCACCCAAAACCAAATTGTACAAATGTCCATAATCGTCAATGGAAATCTATTTCAAAACTTTAGGACACCAACTCTACCGGTTCTTCCAAAATTTAAATAGTACCAAATTTAGTACACATAAGTACGAATTTCTAAAACTTCCACTACACCCCAATCTTACAATGCTACAGTAATCTTTCCAATCCAAAAAACGTTATTTTTTTAAAGAATTTTTTCTAGGACCTAGAAACTTGGATTTTTTAAAGATTTTTTTCAAGGACCTTGAAATTGACAAAAATGTGAATGTGTAAAAAAATAATTTTTAAAGTCCTCGAATTCCAAAAAATTGTAGGACATTGAAACCTATCAAGGATCTTAATATCCAAGAATGTCGATTTTTTAAAAAAATATTTTCAAGGTCATTGAAACATAAAAACGCTGATTTTTTTTCAAAGACCTTGAAACCCCAAAATCGTGCATAAAGACCTCGAAGTCCAAACAAAACAAAGATTAAAAAAATTATCAATGACATTGAAACCTTAAAACGTGGATTTTTTTACAGAATTTTTTCAAGGATCTTAAAATCCAAGAATATGGATTTTTTAAAAAACATTTTCAAGGCCATTGAAACCCAAAAACTCGGATTTTTTTTTAGATTTTTTTCAAAGACCTTTTAAATTCCAAAAATCGTGTATTTTTGAGGACCTCGAAATCCAAAAAAAAAAAAAACGCAGATTAAGAAAATATCAAGGACATAGAATCCTAAAAAAAGTGATTAAAACAAAAATTCAAGTACCTTGAAGCTCAAAAAACGTGGATTTAAAAAAATCAAGTTTTCTAAAGCTTTTTAAAGTCCTCGTTCGACCTCCACTGTGTGGGCCAATTCAAACTAACGTCATTGTCCGCATTATGATTTGTACACAATTTATTTTCAAATCGCTTTCAATCAATAATTATATTCCCGTTATGTCCAATAATCCAAATAAATGAAAATGTGAGCCAAAATTGGCCACAAGTGAAAGGGGTTGTTGTTAGTGGGTTGGGGAATTGATGCCATAATTGCAGGTGTTGTTGTTGCTGCCGCTGCAATTGTTGGGTGTAACTGTTTGTTTTAATTTTAAAATAAATTCGATAAATTCCAACGATCACATGCAGGGTACGACGTCAGCCGATAAAAATAAGAATCTTCTCTCCCACTATAGTTTGTCGCCGACGCCGTAGTCGCCAGGCGACGGAGACGACAACAACCGACTATCGCTTTGGTGGCCAAAAAAGTATTAACGTAACATCAGTGGGGACCCAAAACAACGCCATGGCTGGCCATCGATCGCAACACCTCATCATTGGCGATGTGAATGTGATTTGGTTCGTAATCATCATCGCCAGCCAGCCAGCTAGCGTCTTCGTCAGAAATGAACCTGCATCCGAAATAAAACATGTGAATGTTTCCCTCGTATTTTTATTGTTGTTATTGCTGGCTGTCTGAAATGATGCCGAGGCGCGTGATTTCTGTTTCAGAAGTGTTATAAAAATATCCCAAATCCAAATGAGATAAATAAAATTTATAGAAAATAGGAAAACAAAAACAATTAACCACCACAAATTGTAACCACCCCCCACACACACACATGTGCAGATTGAAATTCCTTGTTTTTGCTGTGTCCGTATTTGACGATGGCATTTGGCATATTGAAGAGGAACTGCTAGGAATTTTTGTTATTTCGAAAAGATTTTTATGAACTGCGATGCACGGATCCTGGACTCAATGCTACAAATATATAAACTTAAGTCATGGACTAAAGGCTCTACGTTTAAAGGACAAGCACTGAAAAAATCCTTTTTTAAGACCAAACAACTACGGATACATGGATAGCCAATTTTTTTAAAGGACTTTCAAGGTTATAATCGTGGATTTTTTAAAGGACTTCCACGGCACTAAACCTGGATTTTTTAAATTATTTTTTAAGGGACTTTCAAGGCAATAATCGTGGATTTCTTAAATAATTGTTTTAAAGGACTTTCAAGGCAATAATCGTGGATTTTTTAAATAATTTTTTTAAAGGACTTTCAAGGCAATAATCGTGGATTTTTTAAATAATTTTTTAAAGGACTTTTAAGGCAATAATCGTGGATTTTTTAAATAAATTTTTAAAGGACTTTCAAGGCAATAATCGTGGATTTTTTAAATAATTTTTTTAAAGGACTTTCAAGGCAATAATCGTGGATTTTTTAAATAATTTTTTAAAGGACTTTCAAGGCAATAATCGTGGATTTTTTAAATAATTTTTTAAAGGACTTTCAAGGCAATAATCTTGGATTTTTTAAATAATTTTTTTAAAGGACTTTCAAGGCAATAATCGTGGATTTTTTAAATAATTTTTTAAAGGACTTTCAAGGCAATAATCGTGGATTTTTTAAATAATTTTTTAAAGGACTTTCAAGGCAATAATCTTGGATTTTTTAAATAATTTTTCAAAGGACTTTCGAGGCAATAGTCGTAGATTTTTAAAGGAATTTCAAGGCAATAATCGTGAATTTTTTAAATAATTTTTTTAAAGAACCTTCAAGGCAATAATCTTGGATTTTTTAAATAATTTTTTAAAGGACTTTCAAGGCAATAGTCGTGGATTTTTTAAATAATTTTTTTAAAGGACTTTCAAAGCAATAATCGTGGATTTTTTAAATAATTTTTTAAAGGACATTCAAGGCAATAATCGTTGATTTTTTAAATAATTTTTTAAAGGACTTTCAAGGCAATAATCGTGGATTTTTTATATAATTTTGTAAAGGACTTTCAAGGCAATAATCGTGGATTTTTTAAATAATTTTTTTAAAGGACTTTCAAGGCAAAAATAATTATTTTAAAATAATTGTTTCCAAGGGCCTTTAAGCCAATAATCGTGGATTTTTTAATAATTTTTTAAAGGACCTTTAAGCCAATAATCGTTGATTTTTTAATAATTTTTTAAAGGACCTTTAAGCCAATAATTTTGGATTTTTTAAATATTTTTTTAAAGGACTTTCAAGGCAATAATCGTGGATTTTTAAATCATTTTTTAAAGGACATTCAAGGCAATAATCGTGGATTTTTTATATAATTTTTTTAAAGGACTTTCAAGGCAATAATCGTGGATTTTTTAAATAATTTTTTTAAAGGACTTTCAAGGCAGTAATCGTGGATTTTTTAAAAAATTTTTTTAAAGGACTTTC